GGCTTTATCAGCCCCCTCTTAACCTAACCCTAATTTATATTGAGGGGTGTGGTGGCTAAAAAAAGAGGTAGAAAAGGCAACAATGAGGTAGTTTTTGGCAACCACGGGATTCCAAATAAACGGAGGAGAACAAGGAAGAAAAGGAAGAGAAAGAAAGGGAAAAAGACAAGGACAACACAGAGAGACCGTTCTCAATCATCTAGCAATGCTTTCATCTCAGGTTAAATCAAATCTACAGTAGATTCTTACTGTGATTACTTGGGGAGAATTAGGGAGGATTTATATATTGTGCACAGTGACGTGATCCTTGTATCCTAGTTATTCTCTTGTGATTGTTGTTAGGGTTTTGGGCAAGAGATTGAGATTTGTATATTGATTATTATTATAGTGGATTATCTCTAGTTTGCCTCGTGGTTTTTTACCCTTCACATTGAAATGATTTTCCACGTATATCTTGATGTTCTATTTGATTGTGGTTTCATTTAATTCCATTGTGTATTATGGCCTGCCAGTATTTGTTCATATACAAAAGTTTATTTCACTTTATATCTCATCAATTGGTATCAGAGTAGGGTTGTAGTGATTTAATTTTGTATTTGAATATGAAGGTCAATAATATTTCTTGCATGATTAGTTTAAATGAAAACAATCGGATGATATGAAAACTATGAATGAAAGATTTTTTGTATTGCAAAGATTTGTATGGACCTTTGCAGGGGGATAGTGCAAAACCCACAATTATGACAGATGATGAGTGAAAGAGGTTAGATCGAAAAACAATTGAGTTTATTCGACGGTGGCTTGATGATAGTGTCTTTCACCATGTTTCTACTAAAAGTTCAGCATATTCTCTTTGGAAAAAATTTGAAGGTCTCTATGAAAGAAAAATAATTGGTAACAAAGCTTTTTTGATCAGAAAACTTGTGAACCTAAAATATAGAGAGGGTGCTTCTATTGCTGAGCATTTGAATGAAATGTAGAGTATTACTAACCAGTTATCCTCTATGAAAATGTCTCTTGATGATGAGTTGCAGGCATTGTTACTTCTCAGTTCATTACCAGAAAGTTGGGAGATACTGATGGTTTCCCTTAGTAATTCTGCGCCAGATGGTATTGTCACCATGAGTCAAGTAACAAACAGTTTGTTGAATGAGGAGTTAAGAAGAAAGAATTTAGCAACATCTCAGAATGATTCACAGACACTTATCTCAAAGAACAAAGGAAGGTCAAAGTCTAGAAGCAATTTATGCATGGGTAGGAGCAAGTCAAGATCAGGAAAAGATATTATTTGCTATAACTATGGTGAGAAAGGATATTACAAGAACCAATGTAAACAACCTAAGAAGAGCAAGAAAAAGGGAAAATAAGTGGAGTCTACAGAGTCAAAGGATAATACTATAGCTATAGTGCAGGATGGTGATTATTTGATTTTGTCTCATTCTGATGATATTTTTTCTTGTGTGTGTCAGGATCTTGGTGAGTGATTGACACAGGTGCTTCTTATCATGCTACACCACGGAGGGAGTTTTTTGCTACATACAGATCTGAAAATTTTGGTGTTGCCAAGATGGGCAATCATGGCACACCAGACATCATTGGCATGGGTAATATCCATTTAAAGACCAACCTTAGCTGCAAGTTGATGCTTAAGGATGTGAGGCATGTGGTTGACTTGAGGCTGAATTTAATTTCAGTTGGAAGACTAAATGATGAAGACTATGATAGTAGATTTTACAGAGGGCAATGAAAGCTCAGTAAGGGTTCTCTTGTTATAGCTAGTGGAAAGAAATGTTATACTTTGTACAGATTGCAGGCTAAAGCTTATGGTGAGCAGTTAAATGCTACAGAGAAACACTTCAGTATAGAGTTGTGGCATAGGCGACTGGGATACATGAGCGAGAAGGGGCTGCAAGCTCTTTCCAAGAGAGAGGTATTGCCATACCTCAGAGGTACACATTTGAACCCTTGTATTGATTGTTTGGCTGGTAAACAACATAGAGTTTCATTTGCTAGTCCTGTTTTATCTAGAAAAATGCATGCCTTAGACCGTGTTTATACAGATATATGTGGTCCTTTGAGGACAAAAACTCCTGGCGGATCTGTTGATGTTCCTAGTATAAGTGGTCTACTTTATTTTGTCATTTTTATAGATGATTTTTTCAAGAAAGTTTGGGCCTATGCTTTGAAGACCAAAGATTAGGTGATTAATGTCTTCAAAGTGTTTCAGTTGAAAGAGAGATAGAAAGACAATTGAAATGTATAAGATTAGATAATGGTGGTGAGTACACAGAATTATTTGATGATTATTACAGGTCACATGGGATCCAACATGAGATAACAGTTCCTGGTACACCTCAGCATAATGCAATTGCAGAGAGGATGAATCGCACCATCGTGGAAAAGATCAGATGTATGCTTTCACAAGCCAAGCTACCTAAAAGGTTTTGAGATAAGGCTTTGAGGACTACAGTTGAGGTGATCAACTTGTCACCATGCACAGCCCTAGATGGTGATGTTGCAGAGCATGTATGATCAGGAAAAGATGTTTCCTACAGGCATTCGAGAGTGTTTGGTTGTCGTGCATTTGCACATGTTCCAAACAATGAGAGGTCTAAGCTGGATGGTAAGACTAAAGAATGTATTTTTCTTGGTTACTCACATGATCAGTTTGGTTACAGGCTTTGAGATCCAAAAAAGCTGAAGGTGTTCAGAAGCAGAGATGTAGTCTTCTTTGAAGATCAAACCTTTGAAGAATTGAAGAAGAAGACACCGACCAAGACTTCTGCAGAAGGATTAGTAGATTGTGACCCAGTTACTCCTCCAGTATATCAGGGTGATGGGGGAGATGTGCAGGAAGATGATGTAGAGCCTGATGTTGATCTACCTGCAGGATATGTTGAGCAAGAAGAAGTTGGAGAGCAACTTCTCGCAGAACCTCAGTTGAGAAGATCTTCTGGACAACGTCAACCTTCCAGAAGATACTTTACAGATGAGTATGTGATTTTTATTGATGCAAGTGAACCAGAGAGTTACCAGGAAGCAATTGAAAGTGAGCAAAAAGAGAAGTGGTTAGTTGCTATGTAGGAAGAGATGAATACTCTTCAGAAGAATCACACTTATGCTTTGGTACTACTATCAAATGGAATAAAGACCGTACCGAAAGAAAGACAGGAGATATGCCGACAGTTGGTCGGTATGGCTTCACATTGAGGAGTCATAGGACAGCCTCCCTTATGGGCTGAAGGGGGAGGTTCTTGGGCTGACAACCCATATTCAGCCCAAGGTGGGCTTTATCAGCCCACAGCTCACCCCCTCTTAACCTAACCCTAATTTATATTGGGGGGGTGTGGTAGCTATAAAAAAAGGCAGAAAAAGGCAACAATAAAGCAGTTTTGGCAGCCACGGGATTCCAAAGAAAACGAGGAGAACAAGTCAGAAAAGTAAGAGAAAGAAAAGGAAGAAGACAAAAACAACACAGAGAGGCTGTTTTCAATCATCTAGCAGTGCTTTTATCTTAGGTTAGATCAGATCTACAGTAGATTCTTACTATGATTACTTGGGGAGGATTTAGATATTGTGCACGGTGATGTGATCCTTGTATCCCAGTTATTCTCTTGTGATTGTTGTTAGGGTTTTGGGCAAGAGATTGAGATTTGTATATTCATTATTATTATAGTGGATTATCTCTAGTTTGTCCCGTGATTTTTTACCCTTCACATTGAAGGGGTTTTCCACGTATGTCTTGGTGTTCTATTTGATTGTGGTTTCATTTAATTCCGCTGTGTGTTATGACCTGCTAGTATTTATTCATATACAAAAGTTTATTTCACTTTATATCCCATCATGTTCTGCACACATAATATCATAAATGCCCCTCTAAAGTTACACATTTCTTAGATACCTTACACACGAGAATGATTACTCCTCATCTCTGTTGTATCCACTAACTATTATCTTTCTTCTCATTTGCTCTATCACTTGTATTTGCTGCTTAGGAATTAATTTGGCTAATTTTGCATCGATGCATCTCCAAATATCCTCATGCTGAGTCCATATCATTCTTGAGCATGTGAGGTTTTCACTCTCTAGATTATAGACTCTGCAAACACATGGATTCAAATGCCACTAACTGGCCCAACCATGAACCAACATTGGACAATATGATTCAGTACTGGTCATTTTTGAAGTTATTTTTGCAGATGATACCAGATGATATGGGTAGTATAGCACTTGGTACAACAGTATCATATGGGTCGATAGATTACAGAAACTATCAGATCGAGATTTAATTCCTTATTGGTTTCCTAATACATAACAAATATTGTACTGTATATTTCTACCTGATTGGCCACTGATGTTATGTCTGTTGAATCTTATAGCAAGTTAGCTCCATATATTGGAGCACTTAGAAACTTGACATTTTAAACAGGCCAAAACACCATCCATGTATGTTTTTCGTTGATTTTATTGTCTTTGCATGTGGAATCTAATTTGATGTCTGATTTCTTGCCAAGGATTGTCAGATCAGATATGCCAATGTATGTGGCGTGTTCATTAGTACAGTGACAATATCTGTTTAATAAATAGCACATGATTACATGTGATCATTGCCTTGGCTTTCTTTGTGCAGTAAGATCAAACATCTCTTCTAAAAATTTTGTACACAAACAATTAGCTAGATGGTTGTTATAAGAAATCATATAGAAAAATAAGTTGTATAAAGGAAATGTATACACCTCAAAGAAAGTTGTCTTGTCCTTTTATTAAACGCTCGGATTTTCAGACTTCCCAGTTTTCATATAAGTGTATATGCCTCCACGAAAGTCGTGGTGTGCTTCTATCGAACGTCTCTTGAATTTTCAAACATCTCAAGAACACTTGACAGTTACTGTGTTCAATACCCTAGTCTAATATAATATCCTTTGACATGTATTTTTTAATTTCATTCCTATTTGATCTTTCTTGAAAATAAAATGGTTGGTCCTGTCATTTTTTCACAGGCCTTCAATTTTGCATTCAAGGGCTACTTCCAGAGCCTTTTTGGTCGGTCAAAAGAGAAAGATGGTTATATGAAGTGGTTGGCAGGCAATGTAGCTTCAGGCAGTGCAGCTGGAGCAACAACATCCTTGTTACTGTACCATTTAGATTATGCACGAACTCGGCTAGGCACAGATGCAATTGATACCAAGGCTAATAATGAACGTCAGTTTAAAGGGCTACTCGATGTATACAGGAAGACCATAGCAAGTGATGGAATTGCTGGTTTGTATCGAGGTTTCGGGGTTTCTATAGTGGGCATCACTTTATATCGGGGCCTATATTTTGGCATTTACGATACCGTGAAGCCTATTGTTCTGGTTGGACCATTGGAGGTAACTGTCAAACTCTTTTTATGAGATTGTGAGCTGTGGATTTACTTCATGATAGGTTTTTGTATTTCTAATCTGAAAAAGAAATTTGGTTTCATAAATTCGTTTCGGTGTTTTTTGTTTCTACAGAAGTTCTTCATGAGTTCATATGTAGAATCTAAATAACAGTGTCCACAATGCTCTTGGTTCATGTTTCCTTTGTTTCTTCCAATACTAGAAAGACAATCGCTAGCTAACAAACAAAACTATTTGAATTTTATTGGTTATAGTGACCCTTGTGATTCTTTTTCCACCCCTTGTGTTCTTTGCTTGCTTTTAAGAAATGAAAAGTTGTTCTGTTGCAGGGTAACTTCTTAGCTAGTTTCTTATTAGGCTGGAGTGTGACGACGTTCTCTGGCATCTGCGCCTACCCTTTTGATACACTGCGCCGAAGAATGATGTTGACTTCTGGACAACCTTCTAAGTATCAGAATACATTCCATGCCTTGAAAATTATAGTATGCCGAGAGGGGTTTTCTGCACTGTTTAGAGGGGCTGCTGCAAACATGCTCTCAGGTATGGCAGGAGCGGGAGTTCTTGCAGGATATGACCAATTCCATCGAATCGCGAGTGGGCATAAAATATGGTTCCGAGCACAAGATTAAAGGGGGACTGAAATGATGTAGACTTAAAATCATGATGTACATCTTCCCGTGACAACAAGGAATGCAGTGTTTGGAGATCAAAGGAAGACTCTCAGAGGTGCCAATTCCCTTTGCACACAAGGAGCCAAGATATAATTTGTACATATTGATTTATAGACGACATGAATAGAATTTTTTTTCTTAATTCCCATCTGAAAAAGCAATAATAAAACACTGTTTTTCATAAGATTGGTAATTTTTGTTGAAGCATTTTGCTTCTTTATTTTTCATGCTAAATCTGGATTTTTGGTTTTGGTTCTTTTTCCTTTGCTAGCGGTCTAACTTCATTAGCATCTCTTGTTATAAGACCAAGATATTGGTAAACTTATGTGGTATTTATTCTCTTATAGTCCAATCAAATAGATTATGATTCTATAATTCTTACATGCTGCTATGATGTAATTGTGAAATTAATTTTTTTTTGTGTATTTTGGGTTGGAAATCAAAGGAAACTCAAACATATAATCCCTTAAACACTTTTTTGATTTCTACCTCATACATATTTTTGGGTCAATTTTTAAGGAGAAACAAAGAACCTAAGAAAGAAAAGGAAAACAACCTTCAGCATGAGTCAAATTATATGGTTAAATCTCAAACAACAACAGAATATTACTGGGAGATTAGATACATTTAGAACAATAAAAACCCATAGAAAAATTGCTGATAGAACTAACAGAAAACAGGCACTGAATTGTCTAACTAAACTAGAAAGCAGTTGAGCAGCAAAAGCCCATA